TCAACTAAGAGATGTGCCAAGCCCTAGGAGAAAGCAGCTCACAGTCAAGGAGACAGACAAGTAAATGATAATACAAGGGATATGTGATAAGCCTACGTTCTAGAAAGCTGTGGGATGCAGAGGAGGGGCACCTGGACTGGAGAGAAGGGAGGCAGGTTGGCTTAGGGGCGTAGGGGTGCTGTTCCTGAGACAGATTAAGGCTGATGAATGAGGGCATGATGGTTATTAGGTACCCACTTCACTGGGCCATCAGATACCAGATGACCGGTTAAACATCACTCACTCTGGGGGGTCTCTGAGGGTGTTGCTGGATGAGATTAGCATTTGAGTCGGTGGACTGAACAGAGCAAACTGCCTCTGACCCGGCAATGTAGGTGGGCATCATCCAATCTGTTGAGGGCCTGACTAGAACTAAAGAGCCGGGGAAGGGTAAATTTGTTCTCTATTGGCTGGGACAGGCTCCCAAACTTAGATCAGGATTGAAAACATCAACTCTCCTGATCCTCAGACCTTTAGACTCTACAACTGGTGAGAAACTACACCACCAGCTCTCCTGGGTCCCTTGCTGACAGAGGCTGGGACTTCCCAATCCCCCAAAATCATGTGAGCTAATTCCTCACAATAAATCTCTCTCTGTATCTATATATCCTATTGGTTCTGTTTCTCTGGAGAACACAGATGGGCTTGACTCATAATAGGAACCAGTTCTGTATGGCTGAACAAAAAGGCCAGGAAAGAGAGAGAAGTGGTCAGGCCGAGGAGTCAGGAGTCAGGGCATGAAGAGAAAAGAAGGCCATGCTAAGGAGTCTGGCTTCTCTCTTAAAAGATTTGAAGATGGGTGACGTGACCTGACGTATAGTCTACAAAGACACTCTGGCAGCCGGGTGCAGGCTGCCTTGGGAAGCATGGTGGGAGGATACTATAGCAGGAGTTGATGTGCCCTGGACAGTGGCAGCAGGAATGGCCATAAGCGACTATCAAGCAGCATTAGGCAGCAAAATTTGGGTGTAAAAGAGTCACCAGAGATGACTTTGTACACTTTGAGCTAGGATGGTGGGGTGCTAGTAATAGTAATCATTAATCAAATTTTTATAATAGTATGGCTTAAGTGATGAAGATGATTTTGGTGAGATTTACAAGGCCCTCATCCTCAGGTACCTTTTGAATAATATAACTTAAATTATACTCATAATTGGAGAAGTCTCTTATAAGCTTCAAATTATTTGAAAATTGGCCCGATGACATCACTAATCCTGTTTAAAAAACTGATGGCTTTCTACTGTCCACATGGGACAAAGTACAATTCCAGTGGGTCCTGCTTGCCACTCTCCTTCAGAACAGGAGTCCAACCTCAGAACCTATGGCCTACATCCCAGCCCCTTCCCAGGCACATGGAATGGCCTGCTGTTCCTCAAATGGAACATGCACTCTTCTCTCTGGCTGGAAGTCTCATCTCCCTTGATGGGGGGGGGGGTTAAGCTCATAACTCATTTTTCAAGACCCAGGTCAAATGTCATCTCCTCATAGAACCCTTCCCGAGGGCCCCCAGGCAGATTACATGCTCCTTTTCTAAGAGTCCTTAATTGTGAACCCCCTACACCACAATTCTCATCACATACTATTACCCGTTTCCTGAACTTATCCATGAGCTTCATGAGAATGAAGACTCCATCTCGTTCTTCCTCCTATTCCCAGGGCTACTGAGCTAGAGGCATGGGGATCTGGTGGAGCTGAAGAGATTGACTGCGAGGTTGGAATGTTCAGTGACAAGTCTGCGAGACATTCTGAGGAGGGAGCTGTGGAGTTGTGCTAGACAGTCTCTCCTTCATAAGCTAAGGGTCTCATTCTGTGTTCGAAATTACCTCAGCAAAATGACAAATCACCTCATGGCAAAGATCTTTGGGTTGCCCTCAGCGTCAAAACCATAAATGTTAAATCTGTGAAGACCAAGCAAAGCTCTACTGGTTTTCCAGAAGCTTTACATACCAGTAAGTGACACAGTAGCTTAAGGACAAAGTCTCCTCTGTTGCAAATTTTCTTGACATGGTATTATGCAGACTGATAAAACACACATCAACTCACTTATGGGTGATACCCTCAGGCATGGCTTCCTAGTGCCCAACAATCTGCCCTTCTCTGGGAAACACACCATTACAGGATAGGGTTAGGGCAGTACAGAGGTGTGAAAAGCAGACATGAACTTGAGCAGTCCTTAAATGCAGAATGGCTGGCAAATGAGGGGACAAGCCACTGCGGAGGTGTCACCAGTGACAGCCACCCAGACAGGCGGTGCACTGAAGGCCCCAGGGCTGGCCCAGCTCCACCCCTCCCAAGTCTCTACTGTGCCACTGATTCCATGACATGCCTTTCAGCAGCTCTTCAAAAAACTACCCCCTTCTGCGGGCTTATATAAGCTTAAGTTAGTTTCTGTCAAGAGCAATGAAAAGGACCCGAATACCCACTTTGAGCCCTTTGGGTTCTGCTCACTCAGGCCATTTACTTCTCTCCCAGGTCTTGGCACCTGGACATCTCTCAATGAAAGTGCCTTTTTAAAATGACTTTCTTGCTCAACGTGACTAGTAGGCTCCTTTGGGAGGGCGAGGTCAAACACTTTAAGATTTGAGAGGGGGGTGGGTGAGGAGGGGCAGAGGGAGAGGAAGAGAGAGAATCCCAAGCAGACACCCTGCCGAATGTGGAGCTCGACAGAAGGCTTGATCCCACGACCCTGAGATTATGACCGGAGCCCAAACCAAGAGTCAGACGCTCAACCGACTGAGCCTCCCAGGCGCCCCAGGTAAAACACTTCTATGTCTTGTCCACATGCCTCATTTTGGCACTGTGCTCAAATAATTTATGGTTCAGTGAAGGACACAGACAATCCACCCAGAAAAGAGAATGTCTGACAAGATAGTGACGGTTTTGGGTCCTTACTAGCGTTATGGAGGAAGCCCGCTTTAAAGCACTGTTGTAGGATTTGTATCTTAAGACACGCCAAGGAACCTGGATTGCTCGGTAAAATGCTGTCTTTTTAGTCACTATGTTAATTACATGGTCACTGTGCTTGGAGCCTCACTCTTGACTCTGTCAGCATAGCACAGGAAGGGGGGAATCCACTTTTAATATTCTTGCCTGACAGTCTTTATAAATAACTGAATCTCTTATCTAGAATGTACTATAGTGGGGGCTCTTTCTTATTCTAACAGTATAGAAGAGTCTAATTTGGGGATTCTAAATGATTATGCCTATTTTTTCCTCTATTAGCTGCCTCTAAAGTACAGTCAGAAATAGAATCAGAAGTGAAAATTAGCAGGGTCTAGAGGACCTGAAGCACAATATACGTCTTTCCTATTACCATTTTCATGACAAGGAACTGAGTCAGAACAGTTAGAAAGGTCTAGAATTTTGCAAACATGGACAACAAAAGCCAAACAAGAGGGACATGGAATTTATTCCTTAGGTTACTATTGGGAAATAATCCTGGCCTTAGTTCAAAGCTACTGTCACTACAGTCACACCAAATTACTATTATTACCCTAGTGTTAGGAGTTTACTATTTCTCTGTGATAAAGCTGAAAGATCACAGGAGGGATCAGTCAGAGATGGTGGCTTGAGGGCTGGAGTCCACTCAGCTGTGGAACCCTAGGGAAGTCACATCCTTGTCTATAGCAAAGGGGGAACCATCTGTCTCCAAGGAAATGGAGGGGGAAGAAGCTGTAAGCAGCGTTAGGATCTGCTCTGACTCTGTAGGAAAGAAACAAAAAGTGCTAGAATTTCACAATTATTAACCTTAGGAGAAACTTATTTGACAGTTCTGTAGCAAAACCCTGAGTTGGAGAAGAAAAGGATGGATAAAGATTGATGAAGGGAGGAGAGAGAGAGAGGGAGAAAAGGACTTTTCACCAGACTGTGGAGGGGAGAGCTAGTGAGGAAGACCATCAGGCTTGGGGGGGGCGGGGGCGGGGAGGTGCTCTCTGGCACCTTTCAGACTATGCCTACATGTCACATGGGTCTGGACTGAGGCCTGAGGACAAGTACACAGCACTCCCTTAAATATTCTGGTCTAGTCCAAGTGGTTTACAATGGAGCTGCATCATGTGTGTGTTTATCATACGTTCAACTATAGCAGGTGGCAAAAAAAAAGAAAAAAAAAGCATTAACCATCTTATTGTGTGGGCAGTTCTAACTGCATTCCACTGAATGTGTGAGTGAATGTGAGGGGCAAGATAGGTGGTCTTGGGGTCTATGTGCCCCTCAGAGTGGGAACGTCTCTCTGGGCCAAGAGTGGTTTTAGTGTTTAGAAATCAGAAGGCCTATACAGCCAGTCCCTACATGAAAAGCAGCCATGCTGTCTGGTGTTCAGCTGCAGAAACCGAGAGCTTTTCTGATCTGGAAGACAAGCTGGCTGGGCTAGACACCTCAAGAGCTACAGCTTCCACCTTGGCGTGTTTCTAGGGGGCTTACCAGTGAATCTGATCACACAGATCCTCCGTGACCTTCTGAACTCCTTCTCAAGCAGATGTTGTGAGCTTTCTTGCCTCCTGACTTACGCTCGTATCACTTCCAACATGATGCCCTTTCCTCTCCTCTCCACCTACCCTAAACTCTAAGCATCCTTTCCCCTTGCACTCCCAAATCTTCTAGCTTCCAAAGGCCTCCTCCAAAGGAACATCTTGCTCTTGGCTGACGCATCCCTTTGGTGACCTGTCACTACCATCTTGTAATGAATCTTAACAATATTTAAATCCTGTGAAACACGTGATTAACTTTACCCAACGCAATTCTCTTCAATCTTGTCATCAGGTATGCTCCCCGAGAGCAGCAATCTCACGGCACCCAGAAGACTGAGTGCTAAATGTATTTGGTAGCACAGGCCAGCAGTTGAGAGCACCGGCCCTGCTACCTCCTGGCCTCGGGCAGGTCATCATAATCAAAGGAAGAGAACATAAAAACCCAACTTGTTTCACGTGTGACCACTCAGGCAGTTTCAAACGTGAACTTACAAATGCTGATGGCAGGAAAAGGACCCCAAGCTCATAGGAACGGATCATCAGCTGGGTGCCGTTCTTCTCTAATGCTCCCCATGCGGCCTTGGACAGATTTGCGCTGCAGGGACAAGGACACAGGGAGGGCGGACTCAGTGAGGCATTTCAGCTCAGGTCAAACTTTCACAGCTGCAAGAGCATCGGTCAAAACCACAGATAGCTGCAATCACATTCATTCAGTTTTTGGCAGAGTTGTGCATTTTTCAGAAATGGAATACTAAATCCTGCTGTGCTATAATCCCCAGGATTTATCTAATTGTTAATTTGGGGCAGCTTCACCCTTACCTGCGTTTTCCCCGAGGACAGCTATTAAAATAATTATCCTTTTTAGATTTTTTTTCTTCTGTCTAAAGTCCTTTCTTTCCATGACTCAGGTGTAGCCTGGAGGTCTGATTTTATTATACGCCAAAGTAGCATTTAAGAAAAAATTATGTTAATATGATCTTAGGTAGTATCTTTTTTTTTTTTTTTAAAGATTTTATTTATTTATTTGAGAGAGAGAGAATGAGAGAGCACATGAGAGGGGGAAGGGTCAGAGGGAGAAGCAGGCTCCCCGCTGAGCAGGGAGCCCGATGCGGGAATCGATCCCAGGACTCCAGGATCATGACCTGAGCCGAAGGCAGTCGCTTAACCAACTGAGCCACCCAGGCGCCCTGATCATAGTAGTATCTTAAGCTTCACATTCTTTTGCCTTTGGTTTTGGGCCAGGAAGTGCTAAATTCTACTTTCAATCTAAGGAAAACAGGAGGGCAGTAGACTGGCATTTGTATCCAGAAAGAAACGGTGTGTTCAGAACCCTGTTTTACGTGGGCAGAGAATCGCGGGTATGCCTAAAAATCACAGGAAGCCCTGGACCTGACCGAATGGGAGGGACCTAGACACTATCGGGACGCAGATGTGATCTGGACAGGAAACAGATCTAAGCTCTTGAGGCATCAGCTCTAGAAACATGCTCTCCTGCACCAAACCAGGCCAAGAACCCTCACCTACCAGTTAATTAACATAAAACCACCATAATGGTTTTTTCCCAATGAAGCTCACCCAAATTGCCTATTTTCAGAATAGGGAATATTCTCAGCTATTCAGACCCTTACAGTCCGACTTCAAGGACAATGGAATTATTTCAAAAGTCGTTCACTGGGCATCAAGTATTCTTCCAAAGAAAGTGCTGACCTGGCATTACAGGAATCACAGAATCAAAGAGAGCAGTAACCAAGAAAGGTGAAAAGTATGATCTTTGTTCAGGGTCCTATGAGAACAGACAAGTACTATGGAAATCAGAGCTTAAAAAGTGCTAAAAATAATTAAGCTAACTTAAAGCATACAGACAGACCTGCCTACCTTCTTTAACGGCGGACCATACTGAGAACAACAAACTCTACTTTGTTGCTCAAGGGCCACAATCATGAACACCGCCGTCTGTGATGGATCACAAAGATGGAAAATGCAGGGGAAGTGGGGAAGTTCACAATAAAGTGGTACTATGACTCTAGGAAAACTGTTTTCTTTAGAAGTCCAAGAGGACGCCCCTCACAAATGGACAGATCATCTAAGCAAAAGATCAACAAGGAAATAAAGGCTTTAAATGACACACTGGACAAGATGGACTTCACAGATATACTCAGAACATTCCATCCCAAAGCAAGAGAATACACATTCTTCTCTAGGGCCCATGGAACATTCTCCAGAATAGATCACATCCTGTCACAAATCAGTTCTCAACCGGTATCAAAAGATTGGGATCATTCCCTGCATCTATTCAGACCACAATGCTTTGAAACTAGAAATTCAGTTTTTGGCAGTGCTGTGCATTCACAAGAGGAAAGTTGGAAAGACTGTACAACTTGTGCATTCACAAGTTGTACAGTCACAAGAGGAAAGTTGGAAAGAACTCAAATACATGGAGGCTAAAGAGCATCCTACTAAAGAATGAATGGGTCAACCAGGAAATTAAAGAAGAATTAAAAAAATTCATGGAAACAAATGAAAATGAAAACACAACTGTTCAAAATCTTTGGGATGCAGCAAAGGCGGTCCTAAGAGGAAAGTATATAGCAATACAAGCCTTTCTCAAGAAACAAGAAAGGTCTCAAATACACAACCTAATCCTACACCTAAAGGAGCTGGAGAAAGAACAGCAAATAAAACCTAAACCCAACAGGAGAAGAGAAATAATAAAGATCAGAGCAGAAATCAATGAAATAGAAACCAAAAGAACAGTAGAACAGATCAATGAAACCAGGAGCTGGTTCTTTGAAAGAATTAACAAGATTGATAAACCCCTGGCCAGACTTATCAAAAAGAAAAGAAAAATGACCCAAATCAACAAAATCATGAATGAAAGAGGAGAGATCACAACCAACACCAAAGAAATACAAACAATTATAAGAACATATTATGAGCAACTCTATGCCAGCAAATTAGATAATCTGGAAGAAAGGGATGCAATCCTAGAGATGTATCAACTACCAAAACTGAACCAGGAAGAAATAGAAAACCTGAACAGACCTATAACCACTAAGGAAATTGAAGCAGTAATCAAAAATCTCCCAAGAAACAAAAGCCGAGGGCCAGATGGCTTCCCAGGGGAATTCTACCAAACATTTAAAGAAGAATTAATGCTTATTCTTCCGAAGCTGTTCCAAAAAATAGAAATGGAAGGAAAACTTCCAAACTCATTTTATGAGGCCAGTATTACCTTGATCCCAAAACCAGACAAAGACCCTATCAAAAGGGAGAATTACAGACCAATATCCCTGATGAACACGGATGCAAAAATTCTCACCAAAATACTAGTCAATAGGATCCAACAGTACATTAAAAGGATTATTCACCACGACCAAGTGGGATTTGTTCCTAGGCTACCAGGTTGGTTCAACAGCCGCAAATCAATCAATGTGATACATTAATGAAAGAAGGAACAAGAACCATATGATCCTCTCAATAGATGCAGAAAAAGCATTTGACAAAGTACAGCATCCTTTCTTGATTAAAACTCTTCACAGTGTAGGGACAGAGGGTATATACCTCAATATCATAAAAGCCATCTATGAAAAACCCACAGGGAATATCATACTCAATGGGGAAAAACTGAGAGCTTTCCTTCTAAGGTCAGGAACATGGCAGGGATGTCCACTATCACCACTGCTGTTCAACAAAGTACTAGAAGTCCTAGCCTCAGCACTCAGACAACAAAAAGAAATAAAAGGCATCCAAATTGGCAAAGAAGAAGTCAAACTCTGACTTTCTGCAAATGATATGATACTTTATGTGGAAAACCCAAAAGACCCCACCGCAAAACTGCTAGAACTCATACAGGAATTCAGTAAAGTGGCAGGATATAAATTCAATGCACAGAAATCAGTGGCATTCCTATACACCAAGACAGAAGAAAGAGAAATTAAGGAGTCGATCCCATTTACAACTGCACCCAAAACCATAAGATACCTAGGAATAAATCTAACCAACAAAAGGATCTATACTCAGAAAACTATAGAATACTCATGAAAGAAATTGAGGAAGACACAAAGAAATGGAAAAACGTTCCATACTCATGGATTAGAAGAACAAATATTGTGAAAATGTCTATGCTACCTAGAGCAATCTACACATTTAATGCAATCCCTATCAAAATAGCATCTACTTTTTTCAAAGAAATGGAACAAAAAATCCTAAAATTTGTATGGAACCAGAAAAGACCCCGAATAGCCAGAGGAATGTCGAAAAAGAAAAGCAAAGCTGGTGGCATCACAATACCGGACTTCAAGCTCTATTACAAAGCTGTAATCATCAAGAAAGTATGGTACTGGCACAAAAACAGACACATAGATCAACGGAACAGAATAGAGAGCCCAGAAATGGACCCTGAACTCTATGATCAACTAACCTTCGACAAAGCAGGAAAGAAGGTCCAATGGAAAAAAGTCTCTTCAACAAATGGTGTTGGGAAAATTGGGACAGCCACATGAAGAAAAATGAAACTGGACCATTTCCTTACACCACACACAAAAATAGACTCAAAATGGATGAAAGACCTAAATGTGGGACAAGAATCCATCAAAATCCTTGAGGAGAACACAGGCAGCAACTTCCTCCTAAAACATCACCAAAGGCAAGGGAAGCAAGGGCAAGAATGAACTATTGGGACTTCATCAAGATAAAAAGCTTTGCAAAGCAAAGGAAACAGTCCACAAAACCAAAAGACAACTGACAGAATGGGAGAAGATATTTGCAAATGACATATCAGATAAAGGGCTAGTATCCAAAATCTACAAAGAACTTATCAAACTCAACACCCAAAGAAGAATCCAATCAAGAAATGGGCAGAAGACATGAACAGACATTTCTACAAAGAAGACATCTAAATGGCCAACAGACACATGAGGAAGTGCTCAACATCACTTGGCATCAGGGAAATACAAATCCAAACCTCAATGAGATACCACCTCACACCAGAGTGGCCAAAATTAACAAGTCAGGAAACAACAGATGTTGGCTAGGATGTGCAGAAAAGGGAACCCTCCTATACTGTTGGTGGGAATGCAAGCTGGTGCAGCCACTCTGGAAAAACAGTATGGAGGTTCCTCAAAAAGTTGAAAATAGAGCTACCCTACGACCCAGCAATTGCACTACTGGGTATTTACCCCAAAGATACAAATGTAGTGATCCAAAGGGGCACATGCACCCCAATGTTTATAGCAGCAATGTCCACAATAGCGAAACTATGGAAAGAGCCTAGATGTCCATCAACGATGAATGGATAAAGAAGATGTGGGGTATATATACAATGGAATATTATGCAGCCATCAAAAAAAAAAAAAGAAATCTTGCCATTTGCAACGATGTGGATGGAACTAGAGGGTATCATGCTAAGCGAAATAAGTCAACCAGAGAAAGACAAGTATATGATCTCACTGATAAGAGGAATAGGAGAAACAAGACAGAGGATCATAGGGGGAGGGAGGGAAAAATGAAACAAGACGAAACCGGAGAGGGAGACAAAGCATAAGAAACTCAATCTCAGGAAACAAACTGAGGGTTGCTGGAGTGGAGGGGCATGGG